GGTGGGKGTCTAACCTGAGCTGGTGGCAGCAGCAGATGGGACACATCGTTACCCCAGAGCGCTCCAACAGGGGCTTCTCCACTGGGATTGTGAGGGAGAGTGCAATGAGGGTGATGTGTCATGGCAGGGACACCTCTTCACTAAAAACAGGCCATGTTCACCCAGTCCGTTCAGAGAGCATCACAACAACCCCACTGCACCACTGTGGTCCTCCTCAAGCATCAAGGGCTGTGGGGAGAACTTCAGAGGTGATTTCACCCGTGAGCCACAGAACAGACATCCCRTAAATACAGCTGTCACTTGGAAACAGGGTAAGCTGATGAATTTGGGGAAAGGGGAAAATGAAAGAGTACTTATAATTTCTGGACTACCTTTCTAGAAAGACTAAGGAATGAATAAGTAATTCCCTACCAGCATGGTTCCAGAAATTTCAAATCAATTGGCAAACTCGAGAGAAACTATTTAAATATCATCGTTTTAATATTAAAGAAACTTAACTATGCAGAAGATACCATGCCATCGCAGAGACAGAGACCTCACTGCTCTTACATGAGGTGACCACATACYGTCTAAGTAAAGATATTCAGCACATGACAGGTAAATGACTGATCATTGAAGTGAACATGCTGAAAATGCAAGAGCTCTGCCTTTCTCACAGAAGCATAATTTGCACTGGTGCTASTGTGACTGTATATTCAGACATAAGTAGAACTGCCTCACTCAACAAACACCAATTTGGAGCAAGTTACTTCAATCCCTTGTTGAGTTAAAGAAAGCCTTTCAGCTGCCAAACAGGCAGTGATCCCCTTGCACACTCTCCATTGTTTGTAATGCAGTGTCAGAAGCTGGAAAATACTGGGGTTTTTTCTTTCCTTCTCCATCAGTTAAAGCCCCTGTTTGGTTGAGAATTTTTAAGTGCCAATAGAGATTTCATCAACAAGACAGCCAGTCTTCACTTCACCACCAAACTCCCACCAACATCAATATCTAGAGAGAAGTAAGAGCTATATCCACATGCTGAAGAGCATCAGTATGAGCGTGGTAGAAGAGAGTGAAATGTCTTTGTTTACTGACTAAAAAAAATGCAGTTTCAAGATGATCTAAACATTTGAGTGAAGGAGAGAATTTGAACAAAGTAGTTTCAGTCCAAAGCAAGTAGGAACAGAGAAAGGATTAAGAGGTGGCAGGGTAAAAAAATGATTTGCAGAAAGATTGAAACATTTTGTACCAGTGTCTCACAAATAAGAAACRGGACTTTCATTTTGGAGCAGTACCTTGCTTCAGAAGTGAACCCAATGGCAATGTTTTTAAGAAAGAGAAAAAATAGTCACAAATGAATGTTTCATTCAAGCCTGCACACAGTTGGGAAAGGGTAATTTCATTGAGAAAAAGAGATTGTGTTTCATTTTGAATCAAAGCAAAATCTTTTCTCCACACCATGGTATTTTTCAGTTCAGTTATTTCAATAGCCTTTTTGAGTAAATGTYCAACAAAATGCTACCAGAGATTAAAACACTACAATTTTTTTTCCCAGTGGAAAACCACCTGATTAACATCGATGATCTATTTTCTTAGAGCTCACCACACCTTCCATCCCAGATTAGTCAAGTCAAAGTGCTGGCCATTCCTTAACCTGTAACAAGTGASTAGTGCTGCTCCAGCCTACACAACCAATACTTCATAGCAGCTAAATATCACATCAAATTAAACTAGAAATTAGCTACTTCCATGACAGTGGACACTAATGTCCCTCATTTAACAGTTCACTAGTCTTGCTAATTTTTARCACCAAAGGAATTGTTTAACAAAGCCTATACAAAAGCAGAATATTCTTGTATTTAATACCAGAAAATGACCTTCCACAGCTCTACAATCTGTGACTCTTCTGACTCTGTTCTTAGCTGGCTGCTCCTTTAACCAGCAGGACTGTTGCTCAGTGGTTCTTTTAACAGCCAGGAAGTTGGGAAATCTCCTCCTACAGGTCTGACCAGGCTCTAGGTACCTCAAATCCTGTCATTTTTAACAGCTGTTGAGGTGTTCATCACCTGGAATGTTCGCTGTTAGGTGGGATCCCATTACCCACAAGGTGTCTGGCAATTCTCAGTGATAGCTGCACTGAGCCTCATGAGGACTAATTCTTCTTCACATAATTCAAGACCTGTAGATATGGAAACAGTCACAAAAGGGATATAATGGCTGTGGTTGTCCTTAGGAAATCCATGTCTGTTCTTTTTTATCAGCTCACTAAATATTTGTAAAATCTCACCCTTAATGGAAGGGAGAAAAGGGTYGTGGAGAGCTGGTTAATGAAGAGGCTGCAAGGGAAATCAAGTCACCTAACACAGGGAAAGTACATTTCTCCAGATGAAGGAATGCATGACTCTGGACCACTTGCATGCTTGAACAGCACAACAGTAAATTCAACCTAAAGACAGTTTGTGGACAATTAAAAACTCTCCTGTGTCCCCAGGCTGATGGACACATTCAGAGGTACAGTCATTGTCAAAGGATCTGAGAAGGGCTGGAACCTGCTCTTTAAGAAAAGCCAAAATCCAGCTATTCCAGCAATGATGGGACTCTACCCCAGAATTCACTGGCTGTAAAATGAGTTGCTGAGCCTGGGGAACAGGCTCTGTTTAACATATTTCAACCACTCCCAGCAGAGCACTGATGTGAAKCAACTATGATTTGTACCAACATGGGAAAATTAATTTCTCAAACATAGACTTAAAGCCATTCCATGCAAACTCCACTGCACAAAGTGCTACATGAACTTTAAAGCTATTCCACACTGGTAGACACTAAAATAAAAGTACTCCTTTAGTGACAGCACATCTTTCCACTATTTTCCATCCAAAGACTTCCTCTCCCCTTGGGGAGTTGGCCTCAATACTGATTCCTGAAAGCATCATATGAAGAACTTAATGACTGTTGGTGATGGAAAGAAATACAAAATAGCAAGCTAAGTCTGCAGCAATGCTTGACAAAACTGTCTCCAGCATTATTTAAAATCTCTAACCTGTTTTGAAAAAGAAGGCTATATTGAAAAGATTTGGTCAAGTTCATTCACTTTCTGCAGTCCACAATGAAGTCACCAACAGCAGGACACTAAACAGCAAAGATAAATGTAATGAGAGAAGCTTCAGTCCAAGTGAAAAGTTACGCTTAACACCTACCTAGACACCTACCTTAACAAACCTAGATATAAACTAGGTTTTACTGAGAATTGGTTGTGGAAGATAAGCAGCACTGAGAAATTAAACCCCACTCTAAAAAACCACAAACCACTCAGTGTTAAGATACTGAAGGGAGGTCATGTCTGTTCCCACTCAAGAGGTACCATCCATCAGCTGAGTTGCCAAAAAAGAAGAATCCCTCTGCAAGCTCTCTCAGGCAGGCAGCAGAAGTTCTTGGAGCTTCCAAGAGAAGTTCCAAGAAGTTCCAGAGTTCCAAGAGCTGGGCCTATTGCCCAGCTTCAAAGTTTAAAGCATACTGCCTTTTCCTTAGCAGGGCCATTGGTTGGCTTGTAGATCATTCAAAGTTACCACAGCTGTCTTAGGCAACATTAAGCCAACCTGTTTCTAATTATGGATGGCAATTACAGCTGCAACATTCTGCTCCAGAAAGCTGTGCTTTCATGAAGGTAAATGCCATCCTTCTCCCACCATGTTCACCCACAAGAGAATCATGAAGCATTACAGACTGCAAAGACAAAATATCATGAAAWAACAGATGAGATAGTATAAGTTTCTAACACACACTGCAAGAGCATTTGTTGAAACAGCAGAAAATGTAGTTAGGTCTTAAAAAACATACTGGTGAAGTTAAGATGCCAAAGATGGATGCCTCTCATATTGTGTCATTAAAATCAAAGATAGGGCTTAATTATGGCAAATGTCCAGCTTTAGTGCAGCAAACAAAATATGACCTTTATAAAATAATTTCCAAGGGATAATGGAAATCTTAAAAACATCAAGCCACAGTTTGGACACACCCAGCCAAAGCTGAGGGCGGTAGTCATTGCTTATGTTCTCTGCTATGCATGCCTCAAATAGTTGAGATCTTACTCATCCATCTTCARCACCAGGGTTGGGACAGGGTACAGAGAAATCTGTCATTGCTAATGAGCATTAGAAGCTCTTTATAGAGAAAGTGTTATGGGTTTTTTTTTATCATCTATAGGATTTTGAGTAGGGCTCACAGATCCAAGATGCGAATTTCATCAGATTTTTTTCCTGAGTGGAGGTAAAAGTTTGGAATAAACCTTAAACCAGTGCAATAGTCTAATTCTGGCCAAAGCAAATTAGCTGATGCTGTTTTCACTCTACCCAGAGAAATCAGGATTCCAGCCCTCAGCCTTCAGCTCAGCCTCAGCTCAGGGAATCACAGCTTTGGGAGCACCCATTAACTGCTACAGTGCTGAAAGGCATTTTTAGTTCTTCCTGCTGCCATGTCTCACACTTACTGGCAACAAACACACTGTTTCTTCCAAACAGGAAAATAAGATTATTTCTGTCAGCAGAAATCTGTTCAGGGGGCCTATCTGTTTGGATAATTTCTGCAAAACTAARGTTTTCTTCAACATTTCTAATTCCAGGCCTATGGCATAAATGAGGACAATGAAAATGACAATGGATGTTAGAATGGGAGATGACCTACTGAACAAGAAAAGTGCACCGATGCCATGAACTAACCGTTTCCTTCCTTCCTTCCTTCCTTCCTTCCTTCCTTCCTTCCTTCCTTCCTTCCTTCCTTCCTTCCTTCCTTCCTTCCTTCCTTCCTTCCTTCC